TGTTAAAAACATCACAATAAAATTCAAAACAATTAAAATCATCTAAAAACATTATAAAATTACATAAAAGATATATGCCATGGCCCCAATCCGGTACTCCCAGGGTTGGCACAGAGCCACCCCTTTTAGTTTTCCATTGAAAGGCAGACCAGGATAGGACTAGCCTAGCTTCCCATGGAAGGAAATTCCAAAGTGTTCTGGATTAAAAACATAAGCCATTTAAAAAAACAAAGCAAAGCACAACTGCATAACAAAAATAACAAATAGAAAGTCCAGCACATTGATCAAGGCTTTCCATCAGAAAGCAAAGGTGTCACTATTTCAGCAACCCATGAAATTTGTATTTTGAAATATTTCAGATTTCAGAATTTTGGATAAGGGAGACTCAGCCTGTACTTTTACAGTCATGTTCTGAGCTAACTATAGTTTCAGGAGTGAAATGAAAGTCAGATGCATGTATTGAAATAATCCAAACCAACAGTTCTCAGTTGTTTAGATTTTAAGTCCCACAAATCATTGTATGACAGATCCTGGCTCTCAGCTTGACAAAAAGCATGTTTTCTTACCATATATATATTAATATATTTGCACACATTTTGTTATTGTGTGTATCATTTACAATAAGAATTCCACTAACAAAAATATGTTACATTTTACTGCCATGATAATTGGGAAACAGAAAGAAAATAAAATAATTCATTTTTCGTATATCAAGGTAGGAAAAATGAAATGCACAAATATAGGATGGATAACACCTGGCTTGGAAGCAGTACAAGTCAAATGTGTCTAGGGGTCTTAGGAATTGTTGTTGTTGTGTGCCTTCAAGTTGTTTCTGACTTATGGCAACCCATGAGGTTTTCTCGGCATGATTTGTTCAGGGAAGGTTGAGAGCTGACATGATAGCCATCTTTAAATCCTGTGAAAGAGTGAACTTGTTTTCTGCTGTTCCAGAGAACACAAACAGATGGATTGAAATTGCAAGAAGAGATTATTACACCTTAACATGGGAAGAACTTCTTCACTGTAAGAGCAGTTCAACAATGGAAGAGATTGCTCTGCAAGGCGGTAAATTCTTCTTTTTTTGGAGGTCTTAAAACAGAGATTGGATGGCCAACTTTCATAAATATTTCAGTTGCATGACAGAGGATTGGACTGGATGACCCTTGTCCGTTCCAGCTCTATGATTCTATGATTCAAATTGCAGTGAGACTGTTGGGAATAATTATTATTGCTATGACTAAGCACTTGTGTTCCAACTAGACTATTTTTGTGTCCTACTACTGGTATATGAAATAATGGTTGAGAAGCATGGATATAAACAGCAGACTACTGATTACACGGCATCAAGATCACTGCCTAGGAGCATAGTATGCATGCCAGTCTACATTGATAAAATGCAGTTTGAATCATTGAGGATATCTGGGCCCTTCTGCCTCATTTCCAATAGCAATGCCATGGCAGGACAATTCCAGGCGCAGAGGTTTCAGAGCCAAAATCTGAGACCTAGGGATGATCCTAGGAAAAAAGAAAGTGCAAAGGCAGGATTACTCCTTAACAAAAAGAAAAGAAAAATAATGACCATAGAGGAGCTACATATATTCAATCTAATTCTAGACAATGAGGAAATTGAAATAGTTACAGATTTCCCGTACTTTGGATCAAACATTGATCAGAATGGAGACTACAGTCAAGAAATCAGAAGACTAGGGAGTTTATCACATGGGAGTGAAGCGCCCAAATCCCGTGGATAAATGGGGTTTAAATCCAGGAAAACCCCACAAAAGTGGGATTGTTTTCAGACAATATTGGGCTAATTGCGCATTAACGTGACATTAACCTGTGCAGAAAATTGCCAAATCGCGCCACTTTTTTACTTTTGGGAAAATCCCAAAATCCCCAAAGTAAAAAGCAACGTGATTTTGCCCACTTTCTGCATGGGTTAATGTGGCGTTAATGCTCAATTAGCCTGATGTCATCTAAAAACAATCCCGCTTTTGCGGGTTTCCCCCGGGATTTAAACCCCATTTATCCACAAGATTTGGCCACTTTGCCTCCCATGTAATAAATTCCTAGGAATGGGTAGCGCAGTGTACACTAAAGTTAGAACTGTTCAAGCCATTGTATTCCCTGTCACGATGTATGGATGTGAGAGCTGGACAGTGAGTGAAGAAACCGGATGAAAAAAGAATCAACTCCTTTGAGACGTGGTGCTGGAGAAGAGTGGAGCTGGAGAAGATGTGGTGCTGAGGATCCCATGGACAGCCAAAAAGACAAACAAATGAGTCCTTGAACAGATCAAGCCTGAACTCTCCCTGGAAGCCAAGATGATTAAATTGAGGCCATTGTACTTTGGCCACATCATGAAGAGACAAGAATCACTAGAAATAACAATAATGCTGGGTCGGAAATGTGTTGGAAGGCGCAAACTGGATGTCTTGCCCCCATAAGTCCCCCCCCCCCCCCGTGAGTGGGCAGAATTCAAGGTGCCATTTTTTACCTTTAAAGCCCTAAATGGCATGGGTCCAGACTATCTGAAGGACCCTATCTCCTTATACAAGATCGGCAGGAGAGGGCTTTCTCTCAGTTCCACCACCTTCACATGTGCGGACTTGGTGAAGACTTAATAATAATAATAATAAAATTTATTTATACCCTGCCCCTCTGTGCACAGTCAGGGCGGCTAAAAACAATTAAAAATACATAGAGTACAAATCCAAAAAACCCAATACCCACCCACCCCCCTTAAAAAAGTATTAAATCAGACACTGATTAAAACATCTTCGGCATAAAATAAAAGAAAACCATAAACTACAAAATCTAACAACGAACTAAGTAGCGGAGTAGTGGTGGCAATCAAATTGGGAGAGGGCAAAATAAGAAGGTTCCTGAGGCCGGGAAATCTATTCTGGAAAGGCCTGCCAGAAGAGATCCGTCTTAACAGCCCTTTTAGCATTGTAAAGACTTGGGAGACGCTGCTCCCTTCCACAGGAGGTCAGGTCAGCCCCATCCCTGCTCTTCTTCCGTTGGCACCTGAAGACATTTTTATTTAGGCAGGTGTTTGGTGGGTAGATGTTATTTGAGTAATGTAGTGTGCTGTTTTAATGTTTAATTTATTTTACTCTATTCAAACAAAAATTCACCAAACAGTGATACCTTTATTGGCCAACCAAAATGCACAATATATTTGTTGCAAGCTTTCGAAGCTCCATGGGCTTCTTCTTCATCGGGCAAGATGTTACAAACCAAACAGGAAAAAACAATTGGAGATGTTAGTCAGATAGATGCCTGCATTTTGATGTTTCTGTCCTTAGTTAAGATGGTAAGTGGAAGGTATCTTTTACAGGCTGGTCCCTTCTCCTCCTTGCCATGTGGCTATTGGGAGATTTGCAAAGA